TAGAGAAAACAGAATGTCCTTTTTTTGTGGAATTCCAGCAGTGCGTTTTAATAACCCATCACTTTGAAAATTGATAGTTTTCCTTATCTGAAGAGAAAGTGCTTCCTCTTATTAACGTTAACACTAACACGATATTTTGATACACGCTCTGGATTTTCCTGACACATTCCTGCAATTCAAACCTAACGGACAGTTAAGGACAGTCATTTACTGAATGCTGGAAAAAAGGACATGGAATTTTCTTACAACCTTGCAGTTTATAGATAAAGTCTTCTTTATTGTTTGTTTGTTTGTTTGTTTGTTTTTGTGTTTGTTTGTTTTGTTTTGTTTTTTGGAGTTTTTTGTGTTTTTTTTTTTTTTTTTTTTTTACGTTTCTTGAAGAAATAGATTGTAAATCAATCTTTATAATACCTAAAAAACAGTGATCAGGTATTGGGCAATGAACCTTTTGAACCCTCCACCAACAAACTCTCTGTAATGGAATTGGAAATGATTCAAATCAATAAGATCCTCTGTTTGAGTTTTCACCACGGATTACACCGACTGTTTTATAAAAATAATAAAAAAAAAAACCAGATTCAGTGATAATGTGAAATGTACATATGTTTGGCCGTACATCAACCTCTGTTGACCCCCTTCCCTCAATAAACCTTTTAAATGAGAAATAGTAGAACAAGTTTTAAGATTCATTACACATTCTCTGAATACTGAGTAGTTTAATGACATCTGCACTTGATGCGCACTTCTATTTCTTAAGTTTTTTTGTTTGTTTTGTTTTATTTTTTGCTTTGCATGGTTGATTTTTTTTTTCCTGCCTTCCCACTATTTCGTCTTTCGTTGATTTTTTATTATAATTGTGTTTTTGTTCTTCTCTGTTTTTGACTTATTTGTTTTGTTGTATATTTGTTTTAGTCTATTTCGTTTGTTTATTGTCTTTGTTTAGGATTTTTCTGTTTTTCAACATGAATCATCAATTTCTATTATAGTAATGCATTTGTTGTATGGTAGGACGCTCTTCAATAGATTTTGATGATTTATACATATTAATATAAGTAATAGAACAATGATTATTTTTTTTCAGTACAATAACATTATAGCTTTCTCTAAACTAGTAATACAGGTTACATGATAATATTTTAGTCAGTCAAATATACAGTTGTGCAATAATGAGCTGCTGGCTTTATTCTATTTTTTAATTTTTATTTAATTTTGTTTTTATTTATTTGGGGAATCACATTCCCGATTTCCAAAATGACATTTATGTTTATGGCATATTGTCCTTGTCATATCGCAAATCATTTGTCTTTTGTTGGTCATTCTATGGGCTTTTACATTACCATTTTCCTTCGATATGTAGGTTCTGTCAATTTGACCCAATTTGGTTAGTCTGAAAACAATTTCAAAAATTCCAGAAAAAAGCAATATTTCTTTCATTACATGCATGACTTACTTGCCACCATGTGAAACATTCAATTATATAAGAGAACGACATAGTATTTTCATATTAACTTGATATGCTGCTTAAAGGCCTTTTAATAAACAGCTACTCACAATTCACGCAGGGTTGGCTCTGTCGTTGATATGTACCCTGCATTTGGATTACGCAATACGTAGCGGCGTAACAAGTTTAAGTTTCTATATATATTTATTCTATTTATTTAAAAAAAAATTGTGTTTTGCCGTAGACTTATATTAAGGAAGTTGAAATGTGCAGAATGATCGATATTGTTCAAATACGTATACATGTAGGTGTTTATTTTTAAGAGCAACTGAATTTCAACAAAGTCTAATCCTTGGTGTAGGCATAGTAAATTGTTCATGTTTTTTTTTTTCAACTCCCTCTCACTCATCAGTTAAAGGTAACTTCCCAAAATAAAGCACCAATGATGATTTGTAACAAATGAATCCAATGAATTTCATTATTGAAAATGGATTTATATTGAGCTAATCTGAGAAAAGTCAACAAATCTGTGAGGTGCGTCAAATATTTAACTGGATTTCTTTGTAGCATTTGTGAGGCCAAAGAGTGAACTGACGTTAACTGTTTCTATACCTACGATGTCAAAGACCTGACAACAATCGGAAATAGCCCTGGTGTACCGTAATATTATATGTTTGCTATCTAATTTAGAAAGTTCCAACTAAAATTTGTCAAAGAAAGGGAAAATTATGACAAATTGACTTCCTGTAGATGACGAGAATTATTTTCAATCAGGAATTGGTCATGTAAATATGTTCCACTAACGATGTGTCTGCCTTGTGGATTTCTTGCACGATTCAGAGAGAGAGAGAGAGAGAGAGAGCGTACTAACCATTATTACATAGCTAACCAGACTTGATGCAGAGAAGCTGTGATTAGAAAAAATGGATTTCGATCACTCAACCTCCTTCTTTTCTTCTCGGATAATTACATAACCCATTAATATAAGAGACTGTATCATTCAATCATTCATTTTCTTTGTCAATCACTTTTTCAGATATTGTGCAGTTAGCACATCTTGTTTAGTACAGTAGTTCTCTGTTTTATATCAACTTCACATGCAACCTTAAGAATAATGTTAATTTTATTCCTATACAGAGAACCGTGCTAACATCATCCTTGTACATTAAGTTAAAAGGACAATTATGAATTGATAGTGTATTAAACTGTTAAATTGGCAAAATAAAGAAATAATTTGAACATATGGGTAAGAGAAGATATTGTTTACAGTTAACAAACATAATACCTGACTGTCTATGTTTAATAGTTAATAAGAGATTTATTATGCTATACTAGTAATCAAAATACAGGGCAAAATTAGTCATCTTGGATGAATTTACCGTCAGTATCGGAAGAATTTGAATTTAAATTCTTCTGATACTTACGGAAAATGCCACAACATAGAGTGGTGATATTTGTGATATTGAGTGTTTGTTTTAATCTGTGCATTGTTTGGCATTGAAAGTTTATCCAAGATTACCGAATTTTAAAAACAGCCTCAAGTCCACAGTATATTAAAACTATATTATTAATCACAGACGGTCAAGAATAATGTTTTGCATTTTATTTGTAAATTTATAAAATGTTTCATATCAAAGAAATTTAAAAAATAAATTGTCAAAATTCCATAATGAAATTTCAACCTACACCAGGAATTATTCCCAAATCTTTAAAATTTGGTACCACTATTGGAACAAAATAAAGGGCAAGGTATGATATGGGTCAAATTTGGCCCCTCATTTGATTTGAAAATCGTATTAAATTTGTAGAAAGTTCGTAATGAAGAACCTTGAATGTTAAAAAAGTAATTATTTTGATTAAATTATAACAGCAAAAAAAACGAAACAAACAAACAAACAAACAAAGAAACAAGAAAGCTGCAAAAAAGCGAGAAAGAGGAATTGTTGCAATTTTCCTCAGCGAACTTTGTCTCTTCCTCTCTATTTAAAAAGTCAATGGTCATATACAATCTCACTAGATTCAAATTGATGAATTAAGTAGGTCAAGTAAAGGCAACAAAGACATACTTCAATTTTGTAATCTATCAAGGCATTGGCTACTAGTAATACTGTTAAACTAGTTTAGATCAATGCTTTTCTGATTAAGAGTTGTCTATCGGTCTGTCTTTCTGTCGTGGCGTCTTCAATTCAACTCCTTCTCCGCCAGCCTTGTATATATATATTAACCAAACTAGGCAGAAAGGTTGGATTGTTATTCTTTCAAATGAGGAGTCGAGTCCTTTGTAGTTCAATAGCAACAATGAGAATCCTGACCTTGTCTCTCTTAACCAAAGCTAGATCTGCTTAAGCTGCACTTCCTGTTTATCAGGATTATGAATATTCTGTGCCTCAGACCATGACCAAAAATATAGGAGTTTTCTTATTATGCAAATCCTGTGCATGCTGTCTGTAAGCTTTCATGAAGTTGGTATCTCTGTATTAATAGGCCTAGCATTCTATTGCTTTGATATATCCTGAGATTTGAATCGATTGATATGAAATTTATATTTAAATAGAAAAGAAAAATATCGATATTACAATGCTTTTTTCCAATATGTGCATTTGTTTCCTATAATTACAATGTTGCAAAATGATAGAATTTGTCCATGCTTCCAATTATCGAATGAGGTAGGATTTACAATGGCTGATCGAGCTAATCACTGGACGAGATGATTTAATCAATGTCGTCTGCATATCCTTTATGCGTCCCTCTTCATTTCTCTGAAATGGAGTGTGTTTTCTATAATAAACCAGAAAATACCTCCTGTAAAAGTTAAAATGGAAATATTTCAGGGAAAGTCCATAAAACATAATTTTTAAAAGCCTTCATAATCTTTATTTTTGACATTCATATAGATAAAATTAGATAATACAAAGAAAATAGAAATGAGTAGAACTTTTAAATACATCATATAGCTAAAGAAAGGCATGGAAAATCCCAAGAAAAATGGGCACTTTATTTATCTTCTATCTCCATTTAAACGGAAAATGTCAACTGTTCCTTTTTTATAATGCCTCAGGGTTGGAATGTATAAATAAAAACACAAACCGTTATTTGAAAATTGTAACAACTTCCACTTTGCCATTTAATTGATGTAAAAAACATAAATATATTGATATCTGATAACCGAATACTTCATGCATTCACTTTTTACTTCCTAGAAACCAAAAAACAAATACTATAACATACAAAATATTTCATAAAGTAAATAAATTAGTTCACAGAAAGCATTTATAAACCAGGAAATTATATTGTTATGTTGTAGTAATAACTAAAATGAACATATATAAATGCTGTTCAAGGATTATCTAATGTATAGATCTGTAAATACTGTAGTTTTTTCCCCCTAGACATATTTAAGATCTCATTTTGAACCTCCCAGATACTCAATTTTAAAGAAGTAATAGAATTAAATCAAGATAGCAAATGTAAAAGAAATTTTTTAAATCATATGAATATTTCGTTGCAATATTGGCACCACATTTTGTGACAATATAACAATTTTTTTATTAATTTACAGATGAATTCCTCAAACTTTTCCATGGAGATTCCTTTGAGTACGGAAGACTCTGAACTTGATATCAATCTTGTGTACGAAAAATATATCCCGGAAAAGTTCCTTATCCCTAAGGTCCTTAAAACAATTTTATACATCTTCGGATTTCCTGGGAACATCCTGGCATGCCTCCTGTGGCTACAGAAGCCTATGCTGCACTCCTCGGGTTGTTACCTTGCCGCACTGGCCGTGTCTGATGTGATTTTTCTGATTATGTCTTTAATGTACGATTTGACACTTTATTGGAAGGTGAAAATCCTAGATTTTCCGACTATTTGTCAGCTCTTTCCGTGTTTGTACCTGTCTGTACAATATCTGTCGCCTTTGCTTACCTTGGCGTTTACAGTAGAGCGCTTTATATCCATACGATTTCCTTTTAAAAGAAGGATCTATTGTAACATTAAGAGAGCTGTGTGTGTTATTCTTACATTGGTTGTCATTTCGCTTGGTGTTGCTGGGATCCAAATCTATTTTTGGCATTATGATTACCACTCTGAGAAATGTGTCAACAAACTGGAACTTGCCTACCTATCTGAGAAGTGGACATGGATCACTGAATGTGTAATGTTCATGTTTGTCCCCGGTTTGATTCTATTCTTCAATATACTTTTGGTTGTCACCATGAGAAACTCTTCCAGAAGAGCTCAGGAACTGTATGGACCGATGCCCCCGAAACAGAGAACTGCAACAACCAAGATGCTGTTAGTTGTCTCATTTGTTTTAATTTTTACTACGATACCAGTCAGCATCGTTTATTCGTTAAATGAGAAATTTCCAGTGGGGAGTGCAAATTCCATCGACAATATTTCTAATGACGTCACATGGCAACGTCATTTAAATTTCGTTTTGACCCAGGAAGTGATATACGATCTGGGACTAATACATTACGCTTGTAACTTCTATCTTTATTTGCTCACAGGCAAAAGATTTAGACTTGCCATCAAAAAATATTTTCAGAAACTTTCTGTTATGAGACTGGTGGATTTCAGAGACAGAAGTTCAAGGTCCCTGAGGTCTTCGTTTACAGAATTGAGGTCCATGTCTTAATCTCTTCTTCTGAGGAATACATGGTCCATTAATGAAAGGAAATGAAATTAGAAACATTATCATGAACGTTGTTAACACATTTTTTACTTAGAGTTTATATTGATTTTCAATATATTCCCATCTTCATATGGATATATTATCACGTATTTACAGCTTATACCAATAAATCTACGAAAAATATAGAAAATTGCATAATCCATAAATGTTTCATTGAAACTTGTAACGCATTAGCAGCTTAAAATAAAACTATAAAACTGACAACTTATTTCGGCAGCATGTTGTACGAAAAAAAAATCACTAATGCTTGATTTTTTTAAAGACAAATAGGTTGTCAGATACAGTACGAAATGCTATCTTTGCAAGGATTTTTATTTACTTATGGGTGTTCTTATAAAATGTAACAGTACCTCTAACTATTTCAGTGTGTAGGGAGATGGTATTCATGTAACAGTACCTCTAACTATTTCAGTGTGTAGGGAGATGGTATTCATGTAAAATATTTAGGCAAGGTATATAAGATTGATTGGATTTAGTGCTGTTCTTTCATCATTACCTAAATATATATGACACATTTGCCTCTTTTACATTTATTTATTAATTTGTGATATAAATAAAAATTAATCCTATCGTTATTGTTTTTCGTAGATTGATGCTCGTGACTTACAAGTCACAAATCACAAAACCTAGTTAAATTTTTGTATACCTATCAGTACCTTACGATTCAAATTTAGAAATGAAGTCAGTGCTAGATAAATGAAGTTACTGAACTTAAACATTCAATCTGATTAAAATCAGATCTTTGTTACGCTCCGAAATTCTGATGGTCGCTGTACAGCGACCATCAGAATTTCGGAGCGTAACAAAGATCTGATTTTAATCAGATTGCTTAAACATTGTACATGTAATTAAAACACAGTAAATGCTGGCGAATAACCTGTGTTGTATTTAGGTGCTGTCCACAAAGTGTTGGGGACAATGCTGTCATTAAACTGGAGTATAACAGGTGCACTTAGTTGGCTTTGTCTGAAAACAGATTTGTAACTTTGTATCTTACAAATTAAGTTGGAAATGTGCTCCTTACCATTGCCTTATGAGAGTCACTGTCTCATATTTTTGCAAAACTTTATAAAAACTCATACAATTAAAATTCCGTAGGAAAAATGGCTTCAGAGAGTGCACAAAATGTAATAATCCATTCTTTAAATGTTTGAATCATGAAAAAAAAAATGATCGTATATATGTTTTTTCTTCATTACTGAAGGTTTATTTCATTGAAATTAACCAATAAATAACAGTACAACACAACACTATTTTTTTTATTATAATAGGACTCATTTTCAGATATATTTTGATCAAGATGTTCTTTAGACCAAACTTTCTTATAAAAATATAGTATCCTTGGAAAGTTTCTTTAAGGCAAAATTTTTTTCATCAGAGGGTTTTAAATAGAGGAACCCTGTTTGGGGTTGAAAATAACATCATCATCAACAACAAACTTGCTAGCGGTCTGCCGTCTAAATTCTGGGGTAATAAGCTCCAATTAACGAGACTTGCATGCAGAGGATTGTGGATAAGATTGCATAGAGTGGTGTAGGTTAAAACCAGAAACTACTAACTTGATACATATAGAACTGAATGAATGCTACTTTCGAAGTTTAGTTTTCCCCCTTTTTCATCTCGATGAACTACAACATATTTGGTTTATATTTTGATTTTTGTTGTCTGTTTTTAATAGAAACTGACACTTTTGAAATTTGGTTACAGGAGGAACATTTATGATAAATCGTGATATGGGGGTGTTTTGTTTTATTTTACAACTAGAAAGTCTCCGAGATGCAATATATCTAAATCGTACATGGAACTCATGTTAACGACTGCATAGTGACACTCAGCAATATAAAGTATAATACACCTCTCTTGGCTGTCTGAGAATTAAAGATTATGAATAATTCATGGTCGTCAAACATCAATTTTCTTGTCATAAATATTCGAAGTTCCATTATCTGCACAATATTTATCGCTTATTTTTAGCATTTTGTACCTTGCTGACATATTTGAATTGTTTTCATCAAATGTTTACCGATACAGTTCTCTCTTCAAAATAAAAAGGACGTGACAGAAACCAGGTTTGATTATTTTCTATATTTTGGCCGAAATATTCGACTCGTGGTTATAGACAAAAAATAAACTGAAGTCGGTAAGAACATTGGTTTAATGTGCAGCTGGAAACCAATTTTTCATTATATTATCTATTAGGTAATATTAGATCTTGGCTGATGAGAATCCGAGGGCTTGGTTTGTCTTACTGGGGAATAATAAATAAATAAAAAATAAAGTTCATATGGTAGAGAATGACAGAAAATTAGTCTGTGATATTTTATTACAACTAAAAATATACATTGAATAAATGATTTATATTCTTGGTAAAAAAAATTTACCATGTAGACATATACAGAGTTAACCATGAGATTCCATGAAAATACTTTTGGCAACTTGTGTCGACCTCAAATCAATTTCAGAGCCACTATATATGAAAGAAATAGCAATATTCAAAATATCGATACAAACTCCACCATATACTTGCACAGTATTCAGTACGAGATGGTTAGATGCCGCCATGCTCGCTAGGTTTTTACTTCCATTGACATATATTTACATACGAAAGCCCATTAATTGATTAAATTTAACAATACGGTGCACCACCACAGCGTAAGATACGACCATATCACGGTTTCCTCACCAACATGGCTATATATATATATATATATATATATATATATATATATATATATATATATATATATATATATATATATATATATATATATAAAGCACTAAAAACCAACAACACTGTATATCCTAAGTGTCGGATCTACTAAGTAGATACAAGGTCACGGATGGAAATTTATATAAAGCACTAAAAATGACCAACGACACGAACAATAATAATTGTCAAATTTTCGGGACAACCTGTCCCTTCCTCAGGACAAAGAAAAAAGTTAAGAAGTCATAAAAACAAAGGAAATAGAGAAGCAAAAACAACTAGCACTGCTACTAAACTACCAAACACTAAATATTTACAATGTTACATGTTTAATTTGGAGTTTATAAACAGTTGTGAACAAAGAAATCCGGAGCGCTATGACTTCTTAACTTTTTTCTTTGTCCTGAGGAAGGGACAGGTTGTCCCGAAAATTTGACAATTATTATTGTTCGTGTCGTTGGTCATTTTTAGTGCTTTATATATATATATATATATATATATATATATATATATATATATATATATATATATATATATATATATATATACTTTTCATTTGCCGGTGGGGGCGGGTATAATGACCCCCTTGCGTTATTTTTTTTATATTTTTTTTTCTTGATTAGCCTTAGAATGGGGGTACGACAATTCATGATCCCTTCAAAAGTTAGAGAGCGGAAAGTGAAAATTTCTTTTTTTTTCCCCTAAGTTCAAGAGGGATAATACATCTCTGCTCTGTCAAAATCATTGGACCACAGCTAAGTTCAAACTTGACCTGAATTTTCTGGTAAAATACCTGCATATGCAATTTCAACCTTATATATAAATCCCTACAAAGTTAGAGAATGGAAACTGAAAATTTCTTATTTTTTCCTAAGTTCAAGAGGGATAACTGTGAAAAATCATCTGACCATGACCAAATTCGAACTTGACCTGTGTATTCCTATGACATATGTCAAATTTGAGTTGAATGTGTGCAACTGTTGCCGAGATAATGAACAGAAAGTCAATGATGACGAAATGACGGAACAGGGTAACACTATATGCCCCCAGCCATTTTATGGCGGAGGCATAAAAATTATTTACAGACAGATGGATGGATTACGGACACCTTACTATTGCATAAGTTCTTCTGATCTCTAATCAATTGAGCTAAAAAATCAGAAAAGTATGCCAAATGACTTAAAAATTCAAGTTAGAACATTAAATCTCAATGACATTTTTATTAAGATATTTAGAACAAAAATACATAGGATGAATAGATCATTCGCACACTCCCATCACCAATTTGAAAATAAACTTTTAGAGTTAATTGTTTGGCAAAATTGTTCCAATGACTTTACATTTTTAAGCCAAAATAAATAATGCAGGAAAGCTTAAACATGTATTCTGAAGTTGACTTAATTCCTGATCACTTTGGTATTATAAACAAACTGCCAGATTGTTTCATGCAATAAAATAAACACAACTATGTGAATGTCATAGTCATACATGCAACATGGATCAGGTAAATACTTACACTAATATAATTATATAAAATTGCTTAGCTTTACTTAATTAATTGAAAATGATAACTAATACACTAACCATAATTATCTGTAAACAGACCATACGCTCGAGAGAAAAAAAAGAGATTTACTGTCAGAGCCATCTTGTATCAATAAAACAAGAGGCCCATGGGCCACATCGCTCACCTGAGCACATTGGTTAGGCAAAAGTACAAATCAGTTCAGTATTGAAAAGATTACCTGGGGGGGGGGGGGGGGGGGCTTGAATTTTAAACAACCGGAACCTTCCATGTCAATTTAACAAATGGCTTTGTTGTACTTGAAAAGATTTTTTTTTAAAATTCCCATATATTCCTTTGTAAAAATTTGATCCCCCATTGTGGCTCCTCCCTATCCCAGGGGTCATCATTTGAACAAACTTGAATCTACACTACCTGAGGATGCTTCCATATCAATATGACTAAACATAGTTTTTCTGTTCTTGAGAAGAAATATTTTTTCTATATGTTCTTATGTAAAACTTTCGATCCCCCATTGGGCTCCACCCTACCCCTGCAAAGGCGGATCCAGGGCCGGCAAGCCGGGTGTGCCCCCCCCCCCCCCCGTTTTAATTTTTTTATATAGAACTTATATGTCCATTATCCTAAAATCAAGGAAAAAACATCTCTTCTTTGTAAGAATTCATAAGCTTCCCGGACCCCCACCAGGGCCTTGCTCTAGACCCACTGGGGGCTTCAATGCAGCCCCCAGACCCAATGCCTCTACTGCCCCCCCCCTTTATGAAATTCCTGGATACACCACTGCCCCGGGGGTCATCATTTGAACAAAATTGAATTTACACTACCTGAGGATGCTTCCATATCAAAATGACTTAACATGATTTTCAGTTCTTGATAAGAAGATATTTTCCTATATGTTCCTATGTAAAATTTTCAATCCCCCATTGGGCCCCACCCTACCCCCGGGGGTCATCTTTTGAACAAAATTGAATTTACACTATACCTGAGGATGCTTCCTTATCAAAATGACTTATGATCATGGCTTTGTAGTTCTTCTTCAGAAGATATTTTCCTATATATTTCTATTTAAGACTTTGATCCTCGATTGTTGCCCCACCCTACCCCCCAGGGGTCATCATTTGAACAATACAATCTACACTACCTGAGGATGCTTCCACATAAATATGATCAATCAGGGCTTTGCTGTTCTTGAGAAGAAGATTTTTAAAGGTTTTTCCTATATATTGCTATGTAAAACTTTGATCCTCCATTGTGGCCCCACCCTACCCCCGGGGGTCATGATTTGAACAAATTTGAATCCACACTACCTGAGGATGCTTCCATATAAATATGACTCTTCATGGCTTTGCTGTTCTTGAGAAGAAGATTTTTAAAGATTTTTCCTTTATATTTCTAAGTAAAACTTTGATCCTCCATTGTGGCCCCACCCTATGCCCCGGGGGTCATGATTTGAACAAATTTGAATCCACACTACCTGAGGATGCTTCCATATAAATATAACTCATCATGGCTTTGCTGTTCTTGAGAAGAAGATTTTTAAAGATTTTTCCTATATATTTCTAAGTAAAACTTTGATCCTCCATTGTGGCCCCACCCTACTTCCGGGGGTCATGATTTGAACAAACTTGAATCTACACTACCTGAGGATGCTTCCATATAAATATGACTCATCATGGCTTTGCTGTTCTTGAGAAGAAGATTTTTAAAGGTTTTTCCTATATATTGCTATGTAAAACTTTGATCCTCCATTGTGGCCCCACCCTACCCCCGGGGGTCATGATTTGAACAAACTTGAATCTACACTACCTGAGGATGCTTCCATATAAATATGACTCATCATGGCTTTGCTGTTCTTGAGAAGAAGATTTTTAAAGGTTTTTCCTATATATTGCTATGTAAAACTTTGATCCTCCATTGTGGCCCCACCCTATGCCCCGGGGGTCATGATTTGAACAAACTTAAATTTACACTACCTGAGGATGCTTCCATATAAATATGACTTATCATGGCTTTGCTGTTCTTGAGAAGAAGATTTTTAAAGGTTTTTATATATTGCTATGTAAAACTTTGATCCTCCATTGTGGCCCCACCCTACCCCCGGGGGTCATGATTTGAACAAACTTGAATCTACACTACCTGAGAATGCTTTCACATGAGTTTCATCTTTCCTGGCCCTGTGGTTCTTGAGAAGAAGATTTTTAAAAGATGCTATGAATTTTTCACAAATTCTCTATTATCTCCCCTTGAAAGAGGGCGTGGCCCTTCATTTGAACAAATTTGAATCCCTTTCACCCATGGATGCTTTGTGGCAAGTTTGGTTGAAATTGGCCCAGTAGTTCTGGAGAAGAAGATGAAAATGTGAAAAGTTTACGACAACAACGCCAACGACAACAACAACGACAACGACGACAGACAACGGACAAATTTCGATCAGAAAAGCTCACTTGAGCCTTCCGCTCAGGTGAGCTAATAAGCACTTTGTAAAAACTTCAACATAGGTGAACCATACTTTGATCTCATAATGATGAGAAAAATAATGCGTATTTTCAAAAAGAGTACAGTTTTATGCTAGTTAACAATTATTGTACATGTACCTTTAGTTTTGGTATGAATTTTGTTGTTGTTTTTTTTTTTTTCAAAATCAAGGCAAAGATTAAGACAATTTAAAGCTGTGCATGTGTATGTAAAAATCCATGTGCTGTAAATCACATTTCATTAGCAAGAACTTAATTCATGTATTCTCAAATTTTGTGAAATATTATCTTAATCCTAAAATTGAGTACAATTAAAAGATACGTAGTCATTTTTTAACATCTATTGGGATACAGTTACAGGTTTGTAACATGATAAAATCCCAGAAAGCACAAATTGCTTTGTGGTTAATCTGATCATATAACTACTTACAACCCCTATCTGTATCCTGATAAATGCTTAAAAATGATACCTTAATAATACAATTTACTTATCACAATAATTTGCGCTGTTATGATCTTTAACTCGTATACATACATATTTTATTCTTCAAAACTCAAGAGTATGAGTAAAATTAGTTGAACACATGTAAAATTAGTTTGACCACTGAATTTGTGGTCATGTGACAAACTTTATCAATCCAGTGATAGATACAGTCTGCTCAAATATGATTATAAAGGAAGACACTGTCAAATGTAAATATTTTTCAAAAACTGCAAAAAGTAACATTATCATTTATGATGCAGATGATGAAATAAATTTTGGAATGAACACAATTCAACAGTCTCACAAAAATAAAGCCATGTGAAATAAAAGTAATTAACAGTAATATCTGGTATGTACAAGACTGCATTACACAAATCTTTGTTAAGGACTTTTATTACTGTTATAAATGTCAAGAATTTTTAATCTACAAACTCTGCAAGACTTGAAAAACAAAATTTAAAAATAAACAATTGACAGATCTTGGAAAGGAATGCATGTCTTAATATAAAAATAATATTGCAAAAATATAATAATAAAGTCAGACCTGACCAAAAATATACCCTGTTTAAAAAATGAAAAATTGCTACTGGTGATTGCAAAATATATATGTATAGCATTAGTGTAAAATATAAATTAAATCATATCAACAGATATGAAAACTGGATTTCTGATTTATGGGACTTGTTATGATTTTTCTGCAGATACATACTCATAAATACACGGAAAACGTGTGTCTATTTATAATTATGCACAAAACAGTTCTATAACAATAGATTCTATTATAAATACATACTCAGCAAAAAGACAAAAAACCACATTTCTGATCAGATCTGACATTGATCAAAACATGTTAACAAAAAGAAGGAAATCTTTCTTTTACATTTATAACAAACTTTGCAAAAATTAAAAAAAAAATTAATTTCATTGCTGACAGTATATAATGAAAATAATAAAATACCACATATAGATGTTGGAACCATCTTTCTGGATTTTTTCAGTATTAAAAGGATAGTAAATAATTAAGTAAACATAAATACAAACAGGAATGCTTGTTTAAGAAAAATGGAATTCATATGAAAAACATAACAATAATGTCTCTGTAATCATCTACCACTATCCATTCACACAATTCTGATTTCTTAATTATCAATCAGTAGCCCTTTTCATAAAAATTCTTAAGATTAAGAGAAAATCTTAAGTGCTTTTAATTTGCATTCATAACAGATTAACTTAAGATTTTACTTAGTACAAGAAATGTTTTCCCTACTAGCAATGATCTTAATACACTTTTTCAATCTTAAAAAAGCAGATGAAAAATAAATGAAAGTTTACACAAACAGAAACAAAAAACTTAAAAAATGAGTGTTAGCAATGTAGATATTAAGCAATTTTGTTTGAAATCTGAGGTCACAATTAAATTATATCATAGGAAAATCTTAAGAGAAATTGTCACTGAAAGAATTTTTCAGAATTGTTTCCTTTAATCTTTCAATAAAACAATATGTGTCACTCAGAAACAAGATAGAATACTGTTGAAGGTTGAGATAAAAAGTTAAATGAAACATGTATTTTTGTTTTTATCTGATATATCTTAAAATATAAACAGCTCTAAAATACTTCCAAGACGGTTAGAACTCTTATACGTTTAGTTATGACAAATTTTACAAGTA